TCGACTCACCGCACGAAAAAATTGTTGCATGTGCGCAGGATCGGTGTCGACGATCAACTTGTAGATCTCCTTGTGTCTGACTTCTCGAAGAACTTGCCTGTAAGAACCAGGTCCTGCCTGGCGAATATACATCTCAGTTCTCGCCGAAGGCGGTGATTTCACGAGATCTTGCAGCTTGAATAAACCTATCGAGAAATAAATGAAATTCAATGAAAAAGTAGTACAAATTGTTGTGCATATTTTTTAATATAAATGTAATACGTGTATAAGATTACTTATTAAATTCCAAAGATATTAATATAATAGCAGAATTGCTATTTCATATTTGAGAAAAAAAAAATATTCAGACTTTTCAACTTTAACTTTTTCATCGCTTATATCACATTTCTTTAAAGATCATGGAGTAATAAAACACGTATACTGTTCGAATTCTGATTGTTTTATCTTTTGAGTGGAAACGATTGAAGTTGCACGTGAAAAATGATTCGATTATGCAAGAGAAAGAAAAAAAGAAACGCAAGATTCGTTTGAATCGAAAATTCGACAGCGAAAATTCCATGTCACCGAGAGACGAAATGAAATTCGCGAAAAAATTACACGCGAGATTTCCAAAGGCCAAAGGCCAACTTTATTTAATCGAGTTTCGTTGCCAGTCGATTTATTGCCAGTCGACTTTCATTTTGAGTCGATTTGCCATCTCATCTTTCACGATTTTTCCAACAAAAGCACAAGACAAAATTCCATTACTGTGAAGACGTCTCGATACGTAGAAATTCTATGCAATTCTATGCAAAATAGATTCTTCATTTTCGACATATATTTCCATTTCCAATAATGACAAGCATCCAGAATGAAATTCATCAAACGAAAATCCATCGAAAATCGTTAATCACAGCGCCGCGCCTCTAACAATTGGACGGGGGAAAAAAGAAAATTTCTTTCTCTCGCGTGCAATTTCTCAATAATCCACGCTGTGTTATTAAATTGCATGCACCGCCAACATTGTGCATTTTTAATATCTCGAACCGTGCCAACTTGAATTTTTGAAAAAACACTTCGTTTAATTAAATTTTCCTATTCCTCGTATCGCGCGATGTGAGTAATTCCAGTCATTTTTATACGAAACCACTATTCCCACGAATGAAAGAAACCTTTCTCCGCGCTGAGAAAGGAACGAAGGAAGGGAAAGAAGGGGAAGAAGAAAGAAAGAGAGAAAGAGAGAGAACGCCTTCTAAGTAATGGGTTGGGTATGCTTCAAACGTAAAATTGAAAGATAACAAACCGCTTCTTAGACGTGGTTTTCAATTATCACGCCGCCGCCTTTTCGAGGGCAACGTGTACACGTCCGCCCGACCCTTTGTGCTCGTGTACATACATTTGCAGGCAACAAGGGTTTGGTGGAGGACGAGCGAGTACAGGGGTGAGAGAGAGTCTGCTTTGCGGAACAACCCTCTGGTTACCGCGACTTGGATGGTTCTCGTAGCTTGGTAATTTATGACGGTTTCGCACGATACAAAAAGCACGTTGGACCAGCAAAAATTTAGAAAAGCCTCAAGTTCCCCTTTTTGATATACATGCATATATTTTTTTAAATACGAGTTTATATCCGTCTTGTTACTCTACACGATTTTCTGTTAACGTGAATGAAATCGTTGAAATGGTAGCAAATGGTAAAGATCGTTCGAGATTAATTAAATAGTAATTTTCCATGCAATTTAAACGTAAACGGGAGAAGAATCGAAACGAGACGAAAAATAAATCAAATTCAAAGGACTACTAAGAATAATTTATTTCTGCAAACGTTCTTGATATCGAGGAATGAAATTCTTTGATCTTTAATTCTTCTTGCGCGCTATCTGAATGCTCGATCCATTTATCAAAGCCTGAAAACGTGTCGAACGTGTTTAAAGAGCGGTTTAAAAATTTCCCTTGCTAAATTTAATGAAAGTCAAACTTCAACTTGAAGCGTCTAAGTCGAGAACCGCTTGAAGAATCTTCGCCCCGTCCATCGAACGAAACTTCACCCTCTTAAAACTCGAAAAATATTACACCAAAGTATAGTTGAATAATACGAACATACGAGTGCGCCCGTTCAAAAAATTGTTTCTCGAGCGTCGAACGAAAAAGCATTGAAACGTTGAAAAGAACCATTCATCTCGCTCGCTATCCTGTCGCGATTTAATATTTTCGTATAAAGCCTCTGTTGCGCGAAAACGTTTATACAATGGCGCGCTTTGAGCATCCGGATTGGAGGCGCGCGTGCTATTCAATGCGAGCTTAACGGCATGCCAGCCAAAGAGGCAAGTCACCCGAGTTCGAAGGCGAGGCGACGCTCGGGTAATTAATTCGTGGAAGAATAATTGGCGGAAGCGGCAGGCACAAAGCGCAGATGAACGGCGGAAACGTGGGCACCCTGTCGCTCAATTTGCATACGGGCTGGTCTTCCACGTATACGTATACGTGCCCCGTAACGAAAACAACTGTAGGAGAATGTGTGTACAACTGAGATATTAATAGAAAGCCTATATATTAATAGAAAGCCTCATATTGCATATTAGATGGTGGATTATAAGGTGAAAATATACGGGCAAAATGTAGAATAAAATTTTTTTATTTCGAGTCTTCTTGAGTAAAAGAAGATGGCTACTCTGATTTCTATACATTGTGTGTATCATTACAAAATAGATTTAAAAAAAGGACGTATAAAACTGCTATTCTTTCCTCTTTCGTTCATAAATAAATCTTTGGTCTTCTATTCTTTTGGCATTTTCTATGAGATTCCGATCATGCTTCGTAAAGTTTATATCCTTGGTTCAATGTCAAAACAGGGTGGAATTTTGATTGGATTACATTTTAATCGAGTTTATTAAAGCCCTCAGGGTAGAATGCGATGGAAAAGTTTAAGAAATAATTTTCTTTTTGTTGGGAAAGAGATCGAGCGGAGAAAGTTGAGTCATATTTAAACGATCGAGCCGCGAGAAAGCTTTGTCGTGTCGCGGAAAGCGAATTTTTTTTCGCATTTTCAATGAATAGACACGTTGAAAAATATATATCATCATATGGAATATATAGGAAATGCTCGGTGACATGCTTCACCAGGAAGAGGAATTTTTAGACGGATTTACTGAGAAATTTATGGTTGCCGTAAAATCTAACAAAAAAAAAAAAAGAAAAAAGAAAAAAAGAAAAACATCATTCCCAGGATATTTTCTTCATTTTTGCAACGAATGTTTCTTCTTTCCTTCTTCCTCTTTGTAAACAATTACGTCGTTTAATCAAGAGAAGTATTTCTAGCAAATAATCATCGTCTCTTCCATTTTTCTCCGAATAATTCATAAAATAAAAGCATCGAGTATAAATAGAGAATAAATTTATTTAAAACTATAAAATTGTTCGAATCCAAGAAACGAAATGAAAAGACATTCGAAAAATTCATTTTTTCTATTTGTGCATGGAATTTTAACATAAAATATAGACGAAATAGAGATAAACGAGAGATAAAAAAAGCTTTTTCCCCTATATGTAAAAACTAGATTTTTCAATCAATTTCACATATGATCGATGTTTGATATAAAAAGCTTTTTATATAGTATGGATAAAACATCATTGATGACATTTTGATGCAAAAGAAAAAAAGAAATATAGCGTGCTACAAATATAGAATGGAAACTTGGACGAGTGTTTGGTTGCACCTCGTTGGCCAAGTTACTTCCTATTGTGTTCACCTTCCTGTCGTTCATGGGCAAAAAGCTCGAGGGGGTTGGAAACTTGCAAGAACAAGAAACCGTTGACTTTAGAAGGTGTTAATTAAACGAGAGAAGCAAATTTGGCGCGGCAAGGCAAAGAAAGACGCTTTGACCTAGGGAAATTCAAGGTTAACGAGACAAGCTCCAGCTGAAAATGAAGGTTTGGAGATCTCTGGTGTTGAAAGATTAATTTACGCGAGGAATTTGGAAGTCGATAATTATTTGACTTCGAAAGAACACGTTTCAATATTTCTTCAACTCCAAAGTTTCACGTATTTAAAAAAAAAGAAAAAAAAAAAAAGAAAGCTCGAGGAAAATTAATAGAAGTGCAGTTCTCACCTCGAGAAGTTTATCTGCTAAAAGCCATAATATTGAAACTTGAAATTAAAGTAGCTTGCAATCTTTCGACTCTGTGAAATTTCAATATTTCCGATCATGAAAATAAGGTGATAATAATCCACGATTATTTAATTTTTCTTTTGAATTAAGTTATTATTATGAAATAAAATATTTTGAGACATCAAATTTTTCAAATAATAAATGTAAGAAAAGCTTAATTGGGATAAATCTTCCATTTCTCTCGTCAAAAAAGAATAGAGAATAACTCAAAGAAAACCTCGTTTCTGAAGATCTTGTTTCAACACTTTACGAAATCAAAATTACGAATTTTAATTTTATATCTATTTTCACTCAAAAATGATGAACCACGTTATCCACGAATCTAAAAAGAACCTCGTTTGATCTTTCGATATTTCTCGAAATCGAATATCTCTCCCGTGATTATCGAAAGAATTCATTAGAAACGAGATAGAGGATCGAGGAAAACGAGAAGCAAGGATCAAAAGGATAATTACGAATCGTGTGATTTTACACGCGGAACAGTTCCGTGCGTGTGCGTGCGGTTGACAGGCCCGACATTTCAGCGTCGCGCCGGCATCCACTTCCGCTGGCTGACTCCGACGTCCCTATTTGCATAGGGATGCATCACGGCGACCGGCGCGGCGCTGTTAAAAAACGAGACAAAACGAGGGACGAAACGAGAAGAAAAAAGGAACAGCGTAATAACTAGCCTGTATGACACGTCACGGCTGGAATGCTCCGTGACTCCTTTGGAGAGGTGGCACTCGTACGCTTGCAAATCCTCTGCCACCTGGAACGTTTGCTTCATTGTTTGCATCGCGTTATGCTTCTCTTCGTCGCGTTCTCTCTCTTTCCTTTTTTCCCCAATTTTTTTTTCCATTTTTCATTTCACCATTTTTATATTTCCAACACGACGCTACGTGTTATGCAATTACGTTACTTGTGCGTATGTTTTGAATAATCGTGGTTTTCGAGTATAACGGCAAGGAGATATACGTATATGTATATGCAGATGTTTTTTCTTCGTTTTAAGCTGAAGTGAATGCTTACCGTAATCCTCCTCGTAGATTATGGCCACTCTGGTCCAGTTTAAAAATGACATGAGATCTTTGAAGGCTTTGTTCAGATGGTCCTGAGATGGATAGAGATTTATACTGAACTCTTTGAACGTTGGCTCGAAGTCGACTCTGGCCTCGAGATGCGGGACGTCCAGAGCTTCACAAATGCTCTGGATATGGGCGCCTAGAAGAGGGTCGGATGGGCCGAAGATCCCTTGTACCGATCTCGACAGCTGCTTGCACGCTGAAATAAGAAAGATTATTGGTTTTTTTGACAGTTGACAGTTAATCTTTATCTATCAATTTTTCTATATATTTTTCTACAATGGCTGAAAATTATATAGTACGTAAATACTTTCTTTAACCTAATTATCATATCATTGGTGTAATATTTGATAAGAAACGAATCACATAATATATAACTTCAATTAATTTCATCGTTCATGACGTACGACGCACGTGACGTACATTAAAGGATGGATACATGAAATTATTTCTCGTTCAAATTTGAAGGAATTAAATAATCGTCGAAGCAAAAAGGATCATCTCTCTGAAATATTTCAGTATACTTAATACGAAAATAAACGAATGCTAACAGAAGTGTCACCACCCACACACAAGTTGAGAAACGTTCCCAACGTTCCCATTTAAATAGATTTGAATGAGAATGTAGTAGGTAAACAAGCAAAATGGCACGAAGAAGCGTGGAAATGGAAATGGAGAGCGTGGACTGGTGTTGACACTCCGATTTCATATTTCGAGACAAGACACGCTCGGGACTCCCTATATCAGGGGAGAAGTTGCGTGTATTTCCTACGCCATTTCACGGTAATCTTCCTCGTAAACTTTCATCGTGGCCCGGCGAATCGGCGACAAAAAGATTGACGCGAAACTTTGCCCCGCCTTTTTCTCTCGACTGTAAACAAGAGTTGCACAGCTACTTGCCTTCACTCGGTTTTTCGTATGGTGGAACGAGCACGTTACGACGGACATTCTTACTCTAGCTACGCGTGTATGGTATGGAACCGTGCAATCCCGGATACCAACTCGTGGGATTACTCGTAACCCTTCGAAATACGGTTTGGAAAACGTTCTTTCCTGCGATAAACGCTCGGTTTTGGGATGGAAAATTTTGCAACGAGTTTTTTTTTTTTTTTGTAAAGAAATGCAAGAGCAGTTGAGGTATGATGGGTGGGCGAATGTTGATCGATGAATGTTTTTCTTTTTTTTTTTTGAAATAACTGGTACGAAAATATTTTTCTGGTATTTTTCATACGAAATAATTTGACCACTCAATGTTGGATAGGATTTATCGAAAATCTTATTTTACTTGTTACCTTGTTATTTGTTATCTTGAATAATATTCAAGATAATATTTGGTGGAAAACTAGAGTAAAATTTATACGTGTTACGGTGTTTGAAGGATGAGACGGATCTGTATCCTCCATTTCTATAATTGGAAATTTAGAAATGACTTTTATGCAACGTTCAAAAAATGACAAAGATATATTTTCTTGAAGAAAATCGTCTAAGTGTGTGAACAAATTGCATTTTTATTGGAAATAAACGCTATTTCGAAAATGAAATTACTCTGAGACGATTTTTAATGCAATAAAATATTCTCGAGTCGTGTAGATCGAAATCGTAGATCAAAACGTGACAAAGGCGTGAATGGAAACGAATTTTCTCTAGTTTTCCATCACAATACCTTGTCTCGTGTTATTTTTCCATCGACTCGGCCCATATTCGACTCACGGTTCACGTATTAATCGAACATTCATGGAAGCGACGTGATCGTATGATTTACGAGTACGATGTTTATGCCCGTGCACAAAGATCGCAAGGAAAATGGACAGGAAATTGATACGTTATCAGACCGACGGCTTTCCTGATCCATTATCCGCGATATACTTTACGAACGTCTGTTCTCTTTTCGAAGAAAAGATCCTCCGACACATCGCCGGACGATTTCGAAGGATTTTGTTCTTTCTTCAAGCGTTCTCCGTTTTGCTAGCTAGAATTATTCACGCGATTCTTTCTTCCTGTCCCTTTTGATAGGCAATCAGGCTAGACTATCTTTTCATTTGTATTTACACTGCTGATTTCATTTAACGCGCCTCGATCGAAAACTCGTTAAAATTGCATTGATTTTATATTATATTGGAATATTTCTTTCTTGTTTTTCATTCTTCGTCTTGTTACGATTCGAAAATAAAATAATGGAAAAGAGTATTGTTGAAAAAATAGGAATTAGAAATAAAGTGGTCATAAAATATTTTCCAATGTCTGTTTCATTCAACAATTATAATTATTAATAATGTCTAAAAATAATTTAGGATAAATATACTTTTTGTAGAGAGGCAAATAATAATTATCTCTTGTTGATTTTAATAAATTTATCTTCGAAAAGGTTAGGATAGAATGATTTTTAACAATTGCTCTGGTCTCTTATCAGAGAATCACGTAAAATTCATCCAAGGAACTCTGTGAGCTGATTCAGTAAAGGGCGTTTCATCGATCTTCTTGAAAGCTTCTTCAGCTTCGAGATCTATCAGTGTCTTGTCTTCGAGCAATCGTAATTCGATTTAACGTCGTTGATGTCTGTATCGTGCAGAACTCGATGAAAATTCTTATTCGTTTGGCGAGAACAAGACAGCCAAGTCAACCTTACGACTGTTCATCGTCTGAACGACTCGAGATATCTCGTTCGTCGTCGTTATTCCCTTGATTAAGTCGTATTCTCGACGATGGTAAATAAGTCTCTTTACTTCGTTACCATGTTACTCTTCTTGTTAACGAACCGACACTAACGTCTCGAATTACTGACGTAGAAATGCTTCGAGTTATCAGTCATCATTTTCCTCATTTCCATCAAATATAATTTTTAACAGAGAGTTAATAATTTGCCAATTAAACATTCTTAAATATATTTTGATTAATAAATTACCGAATATTTGTTAAATATGTTATTAATTTATTTGTTTAATATCGATTTGTAAATTCGTTTTTTAACGTCACATATACGATTTCTTTTTCCATTTAATTTCTTTTATTTTTTTTTAAAATCATCCGGCTACTGTGTCGTTCATATTTCAATAATTATTATTCCCAGAATTTTCCTGGAATTTTACAGAATTCATTTACATCGAATCGTTGTTTCCTCGATTCTCGATCCGATATTTAATATGTATTTTAGAATTACTGCAATGTACAGTGTATAATTGAACAACCGATGCTCGATACACGGAATGTAATGCAACACTATCGATAAGAGAAGCAAAATTAAACATGTACCGTTATTACAACCCGGAATGTTAAAATATCCCTTGTTTCCATCGAACAATTAGTCAGGAATTATTACCAATAATAATTTCGTTCGAAAAACAGAACTTTTCTCCCCCGCGTATATATCTCCCCTATATATTTTTCGTTTTTAATCGAGCAACACGATCACCTCTCGAGCGCATTGACACGCAGGAATAGCTTCGTCACTAATTTCCCCTCTAACGATCCCTTCCTCCTCGCCATTCGCACACTCGATGAAAAAAGATCGCGCAACAATGTGGCGTTAACGCGGTCACGGTGTTGGAGGAGAATCATGCCCCTGTTCCTCTTTCAAAATGGTAACGAGAGGTGGAGGAAGGATTGAAGGGAGGACTTTAAACGGCCCCTTCTCTTGTTGAGGAAACGGAACTCGGGAATGTCCGAATGGCTGAAAACCGGTGGGAAAACAAAGCGATTAAACGCATCGGATCTTTCGAATCCCGTACCATTTTTACCATTTAGGATGAGAAAATGAAAAAATGTTTCCTTTTTTTTTCTTCTTCTTTTCCCTATGTTTTATTTTTTCTTTTTTTTCTTTTTCTCTTTTTTCGTTGGAATTACGAACGCAGATTTAATTGCGACGCGGAGTCGACTCGTTGAAAGTTCCTACGAAGCGGGAAACGAAACGTTGGCAATCTTGCGTTCCGGTTGACCTGAATTCCTCGTTGCTGGAAACGGACGGCCCTCCCCCTCTATAGAGTCGAGGAACAAAGATATCAAGGTTTTGTTCGGAGGGCATAGGTATACCGAGACGAAATGGGAGCAAAAGAGTGTCCGACGGGGAAGCAGTAAATTAAAAATACAACGGGTGCTCGCGTGTCGGCACGGATTTTAAACGGTCTCGCTTACCTGTCTGTCGAAAAAAAACGGGGGGAGGGAGGGAAAAAAAAAAAAGAAGAAGAGGGTCCTCCATCAGCGCTTTCAAGCGCACTTGCACGTTTTAAACGAAATTACATCGGTCGCATCCGTGTCTTTCTTCCCTCTTGGCCTTCTCGGCGGGAAAATATGATCGTTGAAAATGGTCGTTAAGTTGGTGACGTCGAGGATTCTATTTAATTATCATCAGAAAACGATATTTCTTCTTTTCTATCGATTCGAGAGATTTTGATAATTTGTAATGAAGTTTCTTCATGCATTTGTTGGAAATGAAAATCAGTTGAATCTAGTTGTTTCTATTTCGTTTCTATTTTACATTTATTTTTAGAGAAATCATCCTCTGTCACGATTTTCGATGCATTCTGGTATGGTGTAGTAAGTTTTAAATCAGTATAGTTAAGTTGTAAATTAATTACAACAACAATTGTAGCTATTGATGTCGACGTGACAAAGTTTAGACACTAAAGCCTCATTTAGATTAGTCAAGTTGCTCGAAACTGCTTAAGTAATTCGATTTTGAAACTCTTGTTCATATTAGTCAAATGTTACTTTGAATACAAGCAATTTAACTTTGAAGAATCTTAAACGAGTATCAGGTGTAGAATCTCGATAAAATGGAAAAGTAGAAGTTTTTGTTTTAATTATAAGAAATAAATTTTCCGACAAATCAACATTGAAGGGAGTCCAATTTTGGTCACAAAGAAGCGGCTGTTACATCTTTTGTCGGTAATAAACGAAAACTTCCATTCCATTAAAATGTTCCGGCTCGAGAGATCAAAGGAGTGCAAGTTATTCAATAAATTTTGAGATTTCTTGTTTTTTCGTTTTCTTGTTTGTCAGTTTGAGCATGATGACACTGTAACTTCAAACGACTCGAAGTCGCGAGGATTCACCAAATATTGATAAAAGCATCGGCAAAGTTTCTTATTACGATGAAACGGATATTATAAAATCTGTAGAAAGGGACTTTTATTATTAACAATCGGCATTATTACTTCTTATTGTGATAACGATCGTTTTAAGGATATATTGCAACTGAATAGA